TTTGTAAATGGGGAGGGGAGGAGGGGGTGAAGGGAGGGCAGGGACAAGGGGAAAAAATGAGAATCAAGACCTATTATGTAAAGGTACAGAATCCCAATTATGAATGTAATTGTATTGTATACCTAGATTGTACCAGTAAACTCAATAAAAAGAAAAAAAATGTTCTAACCATATCTGGCTCTCTGCATTTCTGAGTAACTTTACAATCAGCTCAAAGATCAACAGAATTATGACAGAATGTTGACTGGTACAGCCCTGAATCTGTAAATCTGTTTGGACAATTGTCATCTTCTAATCCGTTAACATGGTACATCTCTCCATTTATTTTGATTTTTTAAAATGCATCTCAATAAATATAGTAGTTTTCTGAAAAAAAATGTTCTAACCATATCTGGCTCTCTGCATTTCTGAGTAACTTTACAATCAGCTCAAAGATCAACAGAATTATGACAGAATGTTGACTGGTACAGCCCTGAATCTGTAAATCTGTTTGGACAATTGTCATCTTCTAATCCGTTAACATGGTACATCTCTCCATTTATTTTGATTTTTTAAAATGCATCTCAATAAACTTATAGTAGTTTTCTCATGACGGTCATATCTATCTTTGGTTAGATTTATTCTTAGGAATTTGATGATTTTAACACTAGTCTAAATAGCATCTTTTAAAACTTTCATTTTTAGTTTGATGTTAACATATGGAATTTATAATTTTGTATATTAATTTTTTGTGTTAAGGTAGCATCATAAATTTTCTAATTGCTTCAAATGCTTTATTTATTATTATTTTTATTTTCTACATATACAACAATGTGAACTGCTTTATAAAAAATGTACTTTTTTGTCAAGTTTTCCAAGCCTTATACTTTTGAAACCTACTGTTCTGGATAGGAGACCTGTGACAATATTAAATATGTCACTAACTTTCACTAATTCTATGCCCAAAACCACCCAAAACTGAGGAGTATATATTGATAGGTCTGACCCTATTTGTCCCCAACTGTCCGAGTTCCCAGAGCAACCGTCCGAGCTCCAAGAACAATCGTAGTCGGTCCCCATATCAGTAGCTACCCCATGTACTCTGGTAGGACAAGGCCCACCTGCTCCACCTGCCAGGTCACAGAGCACCCAAAAGAGAACACTAGCTGTTGCTATGGCCATGTACTCAGCGATTCTCACCCCCCAAATCTCACGCCTCACTTCCCCTCACCTCACTTCACCCAACGCCATCTCACCAACTCTCGGCCCTATCCCTAAAAGACTCAGCTCAGTAAACTTGACGCAGACACCCTTTGGCCGCAGACATCCTTGGCTCAGCCCCTAGGAGGGTCCCGCCCAGAACCTCGAATTCAGGCTGTGTTCTTTATGGGGTTGTCACTGTTTACCTAACATATATAATTTCTATATTGACATCCGCCCCATGCGAATTCAGTAAATATTTGTTGGACGATTAAATCTAGACCTCTAACTTTAAATGTTTTGAATTTCATAAATAACGTTGTAAAGAAAGCTGATGACTTATTTAGGAATACGTTTCAGTGGAAGAAACAAATTTCAGTGAAAGAAACAAAAATATCTGACAGAAGTGGCCTGAACAGTATGGATGTTTATTATATCATTCAACAGAAAAATAAAAGGTAAGTGTTTATTGGCACTGGTTTAGTGGCATTATCTGGCCAGATATGTTCGCCATTTCTATAGACTTTCCCTCATAGCAACAAGCTGGCTGTTGTGGCTGCAGGAGTCACATCTAAGTAAAGAGAGGAAGGAACAGAGAATGGACAGCTGAATACAACCTTTTGTGAGAAAGACTAATGCTTTCTGTGGTCCTCATTTGTCACTGGCAAAACCTAGCTCATAGGGCTCTTCCAAGGAGAGTGAGTACTGAGAGCAAAACACATGATTGTCATAATTAACTTCAGCTTATCATCTGAGATGGGGTACACTGTTCCTCCAAAGCTGTGTGCTGTTATCAAAAAAGACAGGCTACCAAATACAAGTGTCTGCTATAAGTAATGCATTTCTTTTTATAGTTTTCTTAATCCTACATTTATAGAGAATAAAATGAGAATAAATTAATGCTAACCAGAGATCCCTCTAATGTAATAACTCCACACAGGAAGAGGGGTATTTTCATTAAAACCTTGGCAGGGAAATCTTAGCTAAAAAATATTGCCACAGGATAAAAGGGAGGCCTTATTTGAAACATTCTTTTAGTGACAGTCCCAGTTTTTGGTTGCATGACATTGGTTAAGCATCTGAAAAACCAAACAAATCTACAAATGTTCCTATGAGTGATTACTTAATCATATTAATTTCCTTTTAATGTAATCAACAATTATCAGCCAGGGCTTATGAGCTCAGTCAGATCTTACCTCAGGTATGCAGCGTAGATGAAGAGCAATCCCAGCATGAGTCCATTTAAGATAAAAATCACATCCACATAAAAGTATGCAGGATCTCCCAATCCTTTGCAAAGACACAGATTATTTAGCATTTAGTGAAAAAATGGCTGTAAAGCAAAGGGCATAATTCTCTCGGTGCTTTTTACTAAAAGCTCATGAATGTGCTGAAAGCATTTGCTTTCAGATTGATACTCTAATAGTTGCATGATCTTGACCATAAATAAGGTGTATGTGTATGTGTGTGTGTGTGGGGTTGTTGCTGTGGATCAAACTCTGGGCCTTGTGCATTGTAGGTAAGAGCCCTACCGGGGAGCTACATCTCCAGCCCCTAAAGTGCATTTATCTAGTTACATTTATAAGTTCCTCTAATAGACTCTTCTTATACTGAGATAATTGTAGGGACTTTAATAAATTAATAAAGATGCTGCTGCTATTACTCAGTGTTCTGTAGAGTCATTTGGTGACTTCCAAGAGAAAGCCATTGCATTATTTTTTATCTTTTGTAGGCTCTGGAATGAGGAAGATAAAGTCTCTGGCTTCACGGAGCAGCTTTAATCTGAAAGAGATGATCCAGCTATTTGATCCATTATTACTGAGAGCTAGAATTTTAATATATCCCACAAACAAGATTGTGTATAGCACTTCTTGTTTGTTCTATAATCATCACTTCACATGACTCTCAAAGTTGATGAGATCAATTGGCATAAAAGTATTTTTATAGCTGAGAAAACAAATAGAGAACTTAAATAATCTGCCGAAAGTTTCTCATATCTAACTGGTCGGAGCCAAGACCTGAAGGCTGGCCTTGTGACCCTCCTGCCTCCCTGGCCACTCCTTCCAGTCTGTCCTGTAACCTCGCTTGTGTATGCACCCTCGCTGCAACAATGGCTCTCCCTAACCTCTGTCACCCGCTCTCTTCTCTTCTCGGTCTGCATATTATCCTTATGAAAATTCTTCCCCTTCTGTAGCTCTGAGTATCATCTGCATAGAGATGAGTCCAAGTCTACGCTCAGCCCCAAACATTCTTCCTATTCCTAAAGCTATCTATCCAGGTAGCCACGTGACATCTCTCTAGGATCTCAAGCTAATGCATCCACAGTGAATCACAGCAATTCATGCCTGTCCTTGTCATGCTTCCTACTGTTGAAGGGACTTAATTATTCAAGCTTGAAACCAAATAGAGTCACAGAACTTTTTCTCTCTCTTCCCTCCTTCCCATCAGTTACCAAGCCTTGTTGAGTCTATTTCCAAAGTGCCTCCCAAGATCTGGCATTTCACAGCTCTTTTCTACAGAAATTGGGTGCTGAGAGCACAGTAATCTCTGGCCTTGTGGAACCCCACGGTATCCTTTCCATACAACCAGCAAAATAATGCTAAGGTAAGAATCTGTTGAAGTTCTTCAGTGAATAGGTACAAAATTCTTCCTTACCATATGGCCCGCCATGATGAGACCCTGTCCTAGGTCACCTAGGATGATGTCACACCACTTCCCTTCCATCCTTCGCTGTTCCAAAAAGTCTAGGCTTTTCCCAGGTCTCCTCGGCTGCAAGACTTCTGAATATGCTGCTCCCTATTCATGAAATACTTCTCTCCACAATCCTATTTTCCTACTTGTAATGTCCATCATAACTATAACTGCTAAGATCCCACTCATAGTGTAGACTCCAAGAGGATAAGGACCATGTCCACTGGGCCACTGCTGCATTCTGAGTGTCCAATTTTAACCTGTCACTCATTGGGAACTTAGAAAGACCATATATGTCCCTATAGAAGGTGATGCTTCATCTCTCAGAAAAGGCTATGCTTTGTGGCTGACCAGGTCATTACCAACTCTCAATTTACGAGATATTTTCTCCATTCCTTTATGTTGTGAACAAACACACAAAAAGTCCAACTGTCCCTCAGATATCTCTGTCAATATTATTTTTAGATTTTATAATGATCACTTAAAGGAATCAGTAAAAATACAAGGGAAATATATGTTTGGATTATATTTTCAAAGTTGGATGTTCTTATAAGCAAATCTATAAAAACATACTTTAAAAAATACAGTAAATAGTCATGTTGTGGATAATGGAAGAAATAAAGCAACAGCTGTGTAATGCTATGCAGATAGACATGTGTGACTCTGAAAGAGTCCCAAGGGACAGCACTGTCCTTGGGCTGTCGAAGTGTCAAACTGCACACATCTGAAACAGCAGTGACCACTGCATGTCCTGGAGAACTGTTACAATTCCGAAAGCAGTTACTTGACAAAGACACCGATGTGGACGACACACAGGAAGAGTTTGGCTAAAATTATCCACTGGACTGTGAGTATGTAATAAAGCAATGTTGTCACTATAATCTGAATCTGAGTTTTCAATATGTTTGTGCTATTTCATTAATACACTATTACGAGTATATACTTGACTAATTGATCCCCCCAAATTATAAGCTGAAGTCACTCAAAACACTCTCATTTCTATTACCTGATTCTGATATGGAGACTTTTACACAAGCTTGCCTTCTACTGGGCTAAATTAATACACAAATTAAATTCCAAATTTATATTCAAGTTAGCACCGCAGAGCCATCTTAGAAAACTGAAATGTAAAATAATCACTGAGCTGAATCATTTCTAGTATGGTTTAAAGGAAAAACTGAGTCACATCTGTTTGCAGCAATTCTTGTATTTATGAAGCCCTAAGAACAGAACAGCAGGTTGGAGGAAGACACAGACCTTCACAGCTCTCAACTTCACTAGGAAATCCCACTCTGGTGACATTCCAGCAGGCTTTAGTTTCTACCCCAAATAAATTCGTTATTCCTATGAATGTGCGATACCAGTAAGCTAGGACTACCTACAAAAGAGAAAACAAAGAGATAACAAAAGAAAATTTTTCCAAAATACCATCTTATGATGGTTGCCTTTGACATTACAAACTTTGGTAAATATATTCGAATCATATCATTTGGGAAATAATCATTTAAAATTATATATA